GTGAGAGAGTGGGCGCAGCCCCCCCCTCTCCTAGCCCGGTCCGGCCCGCGGGGAGTGGCCAAGCGGCCCTGAGGGAAGGAATCGCAGGACTCCGCTGTTCTCTCCGCCCCTGTCCCGCTGTGCCATGGAGGACGTGCTGCCCTCGGGCCTGCTGGAGATCTGCCTGCTGGTCGGTGTGCCCTGGGAGCGGGTGAGAGCGCTCCTCCAGGTGAGAGGGGGTTCGGTGTGCTGAGGGAGCGTGGGGCGTGCGGGAGCGGCCGTGGCCGCCGGCCGGGCAGCCTCTGTCAGCGCGGTTCTCTCCTCGGAGTCTCAACCGGGTCAGCTCCTCCCTGGCCGGGTCTCTCTGCCCCGTACAGACTTGAGTACAACTATGGAGTTGCCTTGTTGCTGTTACCATCGGATAGAACAGAAATACTTCAAAGAAAACTTGTTTTGACAGGAGATCATCAACAAAGTAGGGATAATTTGGTAGCAGCGTTAAGTAATTACACTTTTTCAAAGGTCTGAGCTTAGATGAACAATGCAGTGTAACTTTATCTAAGCAGGAACAGCAAAGTGCTTGAACAATGCATATCCTTTACTTGGTGATATCCCATTTCCCATCTTCCGTTGGAGATAAAAGCTAAAGATACGAGAGTAAAACTTGGTAATTTGTATCCTTAGGACAACGCCAGGTCTAAATCCCTGTATTGAGATTAAGTTTACTGCTCTGAATTTGGCACAACCTGAGCAATTCAGACATGGCAGAAGTTGATGGATTGGTTTCTGCTTTGAATATGTGGTTTATAATTTGTTTATCACTATAACCACTTAACATGTGAGTTAACAATTAAAGCCCTCTTCCTGATTTTGCTTTGTTAAAATGCGCTGATTGTTTTGTTAGATACCTATGATCCGCCCAGCTGCGGGATTAGCTGTGGTGCCAGCACGTGCTGAAAATCCAAGCTGCTCCCAGGGATCTCGGTTGTCTTGCTTGAACTTGAATTTGATTGCGCGCTCTAATAGCATTAGATAAAGAAGTCTTTGTCAAACTTGTTGGTGCTCACTCGTTCGGGAGACTGCTTTTGTTGATGTCAGCATCTTAAGTGATATCGGCTAAGCAGAGTTTCAAATTCCAGGATCTCATTCATATATACATTCAAATTGGGGAAGTAGTTGTGCCGTGAATGTCACCACCGGACTTTTGAAATCGATGTGTACGTGTTGTTTTGGCATTTGCGTGAGAAGTAAAGCCAGAAGAAGGGGATTTTCTTTTTCATTCCAGTCTGCTCAGTTTGATTTTATTGCTTCCAAAAAACCTGTAGAACATCAAATAGGAAATTGGCTACGAAAAGTAGAAGCCATTGTGATGTTCTGATCACACTACAGGTTTTGAATTGTTTCTTTGCTCAAGGTATAAAATGGAGTGTCAGAAAGGAAAGTAGTCCCTACACTTGTCAATATTAACTATAGTAACATCCCGTAACATCCCTGCAAGCTGTTACACCACAGGGATCTAATTCACTCTTAGGGCAAGTTTATAGATTTACTCCACTTCCTTTTCCTTCTGCAGCACTATCTACATAAGGAAATGGTGGAATATGTTTTGTATCTAATTTCAGTAAATATAGAAGCAAGAGACATTATTGACAGAAAATAAGAACACTTCAATGCAAAATAGTGGACCTCTGATAATATTTACAGATGAAACAGCAGGGTAAAAAATCTTGATAGTGCTTCAAATCTTGATCTTGAAAATGTGTTTGTGCATTCTTAACTTTATTGCAACATGAAGTAATAAAGTAAATGAA